TAGCGAAAACGTATCGAAATATGTTACTTAGGAGCAGTTAGACCAATAACACTGCACTACGCCACAGCTACACAAAGTCACTGATATCTACTTGAGATCTTACGTAAAGTAACATCAGTTTATACACACTGCTAGTCGAATACTTTATGACCTCAACTTAAACGAGCACCTACGAAAGTTTATTCACAGAATAAATTTCCCTTACACTATGAAAACTCATTTATTTTAGTCTGGCAGCTAGTCATCCGCTTTATTACTGTAATGACTACACTTAAAAAGGAAGACAAAAATTAATTTTCAGTAAAGGGGAAATAATTCAAGTCACCATTTTAGTAATAAAGAGTTCTAAGTAAGAGGGGTAAGTTATTTTATGAGGTTGCAAAACCCTCGATGACTCAGATGACTGCGGTATGTATGACACGTGTCCAGTCATTGTCAGCCCCGTCGCACAACGTTAGACGGAGCAGGTGGTTAGACTAAAACATGACATGACAGCTTTTCACTGTTGGTCAGTGAGGTGTAGGTGAATGAAGACTTCTCGGGTGAGGTCTGTGTGACAAACAAAATCGGTGGGGTTGAGACTCCAAATTATATACGCCAGATATATATTCACACAAACTTCAACATGATTGGGTTATTGCATCTCGTTAGTTGTCTTACTTCCTCTTTTCTTGGATTTTCGAAAACGTTTAATAATATTTTTCCAATTTTTCCGTCTTTCATCTTGCCTCCTGGTATCTCAGTGTGCTATTGTGAGCTGTTGCAAATTGAACCCAGTAATACCTGGTTTCATGTCGGTATTGATTAATTGATAATGGAAATAATCGTAGAACATCTTAGTTAACTTTAAACAGACAGACAACAATTTTTTTGAAAATACCTCGTCATTTAACCGCCTTAAGTTTTGTCTACTATGCATATGATGATATGATTTAACAAAATTAGAAAAAGAATCTACCAGGTGTTTTGAAGTAGATAAAAATAAGGAAATTTTAAACTCACCATTTCATAGTTTCACGGCAAATATTTACAATCCAATAATGCAATATACAGGAAAAAGATTACAAACAAGACGAAATCTGTTAATTATAGGTATGCAGTTGGAAAAGCAGAGGAAAAGATTAATTCGAATGCAGCTACTATTTTTATCTATCAACTTGACATGTAAGTTCACTTTACTGTTGTAGTTTGGATAGCATAAAACGTTTAACACTTTGTTCAGATAAATAAAAATAAGTTAAGCACTGAACTTGACTAATTTCAAAATTGATTACGACTAGTTGACTTTGATCTCTGAATCGTTTGGCGATCTGTGACGACGTGAACAAATAACAACACACTGTACTGCAAAATTAACACAATAAGAGTACGGAATTGGGTCTAAAGACTACCATCGCAACTAATAAAATAACCAACAGAGTTCCCTCGTGCTATAGAAAAGTTCACCTTTACAGACGAAATACAGAGCCTTAGAGTTGCTCCAGCATAATGTGAATTTAAAATTATAGTGGAGTATAGTAACTACTGAGGAGCAATTCTGATGCAATAATATGTACTTTATTTGGTAGGATCACCTAGTGTCAAAGGTGTTCCAATAAGCTAGAGTTCCTCCCACATATAACTATATTAAAGAAGATACACAACGTATACAAAACCAACCAACAAAGATTTCAAGTTCTCGACGAAAAAAATCATAAACCCTCGAACATGGTAAATATTCAGTGGTACATTTTTGGTACATCTTATAACTGAACCGCTCCGCCGACCTGACCCTAAGCCACCAGATGATACATAAGCCTTCACACATTGGGTTCGACTCATAGCTCAGTACGTAGATCTGCAGTGAGTAGATGAATAAAGCATAGCAAATTTATCCGTAGTCGTTTACTTTAGTGGAGTGATAGCGATACAAGCCCCATATTACAGAACAGCTTCCATTACAATGCGATAAACAGGTATACACTGGGAACAAGACAAGGAAAAACTGCGTAATCCAAATAGTGATATCAACAGACGTAAATTGCCACAAAATAAAGTGGAATAGGTAGAAATTATACTACTAAGATTTACATAACAATAAGATATGAACGTATTTACACCAATGACACTGATTTCCAGCCATACCGCCTACGGTGTTATGGGCTGGATCCAGGAAATTATTGCTACTATTATTTGAAACAAAAACTGTACAATATGAGCACCCAAAGATATACCATAGCAAATAATAAAGTAACACTAAAAAGACAAAAATGTGAGACAGAAAAGAGAAGGAACAGGAACAAAAACAGAAATATGTTGTTGAAGAAGTAGTCCCAAAGATAGAATAAAAGCGCTCATTACTTTCGTTTTACTTTTCAGTAGTGGGAAAGACAAGAATCTTCAAGCATGATCACCGCCGGTTTCTATTCTGCCATCGTCTCAAACCACCGAGTCACATAACTTCTCCAAACCCATACAGGAATTCGCTAGCCACCAAACGGACACAACTATCCTTCAATCCACTGTGCCATGCACTTACCACACCCCTCCGCTTATTCCAGGTACTCCCGGGGCAAATAAACAGTGAACGATGTGGCAGCTACTGGTAGGACATTGGAAACATATTTTCAAGTAACAGAAACTGATGTTTCAAGATGATCGCACTTAATAAGTGACAATTTTTACGATGTTCGTATGAATACCACCTCACCTAAGAATTATTTACATGGGTTTTCCATTGGATGGAGCAAACCTAAGGAGATAACAGTGGTCGAAGACGTAGAATCGTAGAACGTGCTTAGTTTCGAGGGACCAGCTTCTATTTAAGTACAATAGAACTATTTGCATTGATGGGTTGTTTACCTGACCTTTAGCCCACAGTCTAACGTCCCAGTGAAACCAAAAGTGACCAAGTTGGTTAAAACCAATTTTGCTTTCGAAACACGGTTAGAAATCTCACCAGCCACACCCACGTTGGCCCTCAGATAAACTTCTCAACAATTTACCATAAAAGGTGGGAGTAAGCATAGGATCCTTTTACTCTTGTAGACGCAATTGACTGTGCAAAGTGTATACCATACTTACGGACACTCATCGCTAAGTGATTGCGTAGCTTGATGTTGTAAAACGATACTGTCCACATACTCAAGATCGAAAAGTCTTTCACCGGATAACAGGTCTACACTACTACCAGGCACATCCTTTTGACCTCTCTCGAGACTGTCATCGATGACAGTTAAAGAGGAATTGTGAACTCAGACAGCTTCATATAGGCCCCATCGCTGATTTGGAAGAATGAGGAAAGGTGGCCATATACCATCGTTTAGCTAGCGTTGTAAAAGTGTAGGGCTTTTAGGATGTTAACAAACGCATCAGGAACACTCCCGTCTTCTATATCTCTAACAATCAATTTCAAAGTACAGTTCCGACTAGCCAGTTGAAGGAAGCCCTAATATTAACTGTGTAACGTGGGGTGAACATGTGACCAGTGTATTCACAACCTGAAGAAAACCCCGCCTGCTTTTCGCAGATTAGTTAACTCACAAGCTTCGCGGAGCTTGCAAAGTGTGATGGCAGCCAATACGTTAAATCCTCCTGCTGGCAGACTGATACGCAAATGACTATCACATATACTACGCAGATCATAACCAGGAAAGCAACAGTTTTCTTCATAGCACTGAACAAAGACTTTATAGATCAAAGTGGTGTGGAGATACAACTTCACTGAGATGCAAATACACTCACTATTCAGGAGTATCAACAGTTTTAGTAATACACCATACTTGACAGAGCGATTTCATATTGTTTTGACCCAGTGACTGAATTGCATAACCAACGACACCAATCAATGCACTAATTGTGTTACTGTTTAGCAACACGTATGAGGATGTAAGTCCAATTAACACAAAAAGCAATCATAAATATGCTACAGGAGAATAATTTCACACCTCAACAAGTATATACACGTGACCAAATTCACTAGCTGAAACTTACGGACAAAACGTTTTCAGCAGAAACTAGTCTCAAATAAGATAGACATCAAGAGAGAAGAAACGATGATCTTGAATTCAATTACTAGTAACTACCAGAATACCACTATTAGGTCTAACAGATTGACCAATAACTCATTCATTGTGCAGTATATTTTGAAGTGAGTAGTTTTTGGTGAGTCAGCATTACTGTTTGTCCCAAAAATAAATTGGCGATAAAAACGATAAAAGTCAAAGAGTGCTTGAAAGTCATTCAATCCTTATTTTTGACGCCTCATTTGCATGTAGCAACAATCCCCCACAAGAGTTTGAGTTCAGTATTTTAAGGCTTTTGTTACTGACCAACTTACTGAAATGAAATCAAATGGTCTATAATTTCTAGCTATACTTAGATGGTGGTAAAGTGACCATCTTCGAATACCATCTGTGGACGTCAGGGCTTATTTTCAACGTCATAGATCTCATAAGTTTTTAGTTTGTAATGAAAATTAACTCTAAGCCATTACATTTATGTTCATTAAGTTATTCGTAATCAAAGCAGTTATAACCTAAAGATGATTTGATCAATGACTGATATTCCCTAGAGAACAAGGGAAAACTGGTTGTTCCAAATTAGCTTACAACTGTGACCAAGATTTTCGGATTCCGGAGCGAGTACGCTAAAATTCAGTCACCAGGTCTGCATTCAATCAATCAGAAGGACGTGTAGGTTGAACATTACCAAACTGCGAGGAAAAGACTATTTAATTCTACCTGACTTTTAATGGTTTTCTAGTTGATGGAAGTGACAAAAGTTATTTTCAAACTGCTTAAGTTAACACCAACCACTTTACAAAACACTTAAAGTAAAATATGAGATGAGCTGCACTTCACTCGTTTGGGCACTCAATTTTCAACCAGTGTAACCGAATTTCAAACTTATTACTACTCATAAAGATTTACTTGGATTTACATCAATAAGCAATTAAAAATTAAGTGACATACAAAGACAGCATTGCAACACGAAAATAACAAATCCAAGACTAAACAAACCTTGGATTGTGGAAGAACCTGAAGGTCGATAAGTGGCTCGAGCAGTCTTTCTATTCCTTCCAGTGATGCATTTCTCACGCATATCATTTACAATCACCCGACCCTGGAAGAAAAAAAAGAATGATGTATTTAGTAGGAAAGCATTAACAAATGATACAGAAAAGTACTACGAAAACGTCAGATATTGTTGTCATGCAGCCGATAAAAGTCATGGTAATATTGCTTGAAAGCAATAAAACAATAGTATGCAGTCATTTGACCATACTGTTCACGATCAAGTACAATAATAAAGCAATGAAGTGAAAAGTAGACACTCGGTGGTGAAATCTGTCAGAATAATCATACACTGGAATGCAAACACGACTTGAAATGATCAGATGGGGAACCTAGAAAAAAGAGACTAAGCTTTGTAAAAACGAATAACTGCTAACTGTACTCCATTTATTGAAAACAAAGTTCAGGTGGGATAGTGTCACTGAGATAGTAACACTCTTGAGATGGACATTTAGAAGGTTACCCGGATTTCCCATTAGTCGATTAGTAACGAGTGTTGGAAATAAGAAGAGCTAGTTGAAAGACGAAGACAGTGGTCGAGATCTGGCTAATCGTCCTAAACAGTAGAGTTTTAAGTATTAGTAAAACTCCTAGACTCCACTCTACTTAGCTCGTTCGGGACAAACAATTAGTATCATAACCCTCTATATAATAAGTGTAGCTCACAACCCAGAGCCTAAACCTGTAAAGAGTAAAGCTGTATTATTTCTAATTATGATAGGCGCTCTAAATTTCAGTTTGACAGATTCTGATACTCAGTTGTTTGAATCCAGTGGCAGTTTCCTTGATCACAGTATTAAATGATACGTCCCTGGACACTTTAGGGTGCGTCAACTCCCATGACTTTGCCAAGATGTCTCACTATTAGATGCAAACATGCAAGAAACGTTGTTCCAACCATACAAAACTACATCACGGTACATAGCAAGATTGAATTCCCTAGCTTAATGAATAAGTTTTAAACTTCATCGACATAATCCCATGAATATTTAAGACTAGGCATTAATTACTATCTAATTAATGGTCAACGTATAAAGACATGCCATTTCGATTGTATCGATGAAGATAGCTGTATCAGACTAGGCAAATCCGTCTTCCATATTTGAATAGTTGCCACGATCAAGACTAAAGAGAGATGGACAGATAATATCAACATTAGACCTGGCATTACTGCTTAACGGTCCAAGCTACCACACCTCATATTAGCACGTTAAGTGAAAATGCATCAATAAGAAGAATGAAAAAACAAGAAAGAAGGATGTGAAATAGGGGAAAATGTCGTATATGGAAAAGAAAGTAGGACAAGAGAATAGTAAAATCTAGCATGAAGATTAAAATGAATATAATGTGCGATATACTTATTTCAGAGAGCGATTCCAAATCATATAACATGGTCTTTACTCTATGTCACGTGAGTCGCAACCTGGAAGTTTACATTTCCCTACACCACTTAGACCAACAACCAAAGACTTCTTGCAGTGATGTCTGGCCGCCCCTAACCTTTTTCCAACCTGAACCTACTTCAGCTAACTTTGTGAGACGGGGCAGACGGTGACTAGGCATGCGCAACCTATGTCTCAGCCTTCTTAGTCGATGAAGGTTCACAACCTTATCAAATGACTTTTCTCTTCTAGTGAATATTCTACACCTGAGTTCTACGTTACTGACCTGGTACCACAATATACGGCATATGCTACGAAAGCAACGGTGATCGAACACTTGAGGCCTTTTCATCTCCACTACCTTCAGTGGCAATGTCACACAGTCATACAGTAGAAGAGAGAGCTGTAGATGACTAGTCAGCCCTGATAAGCAATCGGATATCATGACGGCGCCATAGATGGCATGGTTTGGTAAAAGTCAAGCGGAGCTTTTGCATCTGTGCGGATATTTCGTCGGTCAACGACCCAGCACGACTGACCCGACACTCAACTATTTCATCACTTGTTATTACTAAACCTGACATCAGTGAAGATAAGTCCAACAGCAGTTCGTGTTTAGGTGCTTCGAAACATTCCAAACATTCTCAAATTGCTAATTAAGGTGTCTAGAAAATTATCCGTCGTATCAACGTCCTCACCCTAAAGACCTATGTCATCCGCGCACTCTATGTCTGTTAAGGATATGCCTGTGACAAGATCGGTGCGAGTGAGAACTCTGTAAGCACGTCTATGATATAATTAAGCAAGAATGGAGTGGATATTCTTGACGGACACTAGACGACGTGCACAATCCATGTGATAATTCAGCATAGGCTCTAACAAACTACAGAGGATCCAGTATAAAGCCACTAAAAGGGTGATGTATTTATCCGGTATCTATTTCAGTAACAGACACTGCCATATAACTTCTCGATTGACTAAGTGGAATGCCGCCCTTAGGTCAAGGAATGTAGCTAGTGCCAGGCCTCAGGAGGTGTCCCTGTATTCAGTGACCAGGTAGAGAAATAAGAACATATATCCACTTGTATCACGCTGAATTCAGCAGTCGAGTTGATGGAAGATTTTTACGGTTATCCATAACATCACAAATACCCAACCTACTGGTGCAACAATTCAACCTTGACAAGAACATCTGGATTTGCTTAAAGAAACCCCATTTGTGCACACTCAGCGGTATGAACCAGCCACCCACCTCATTTCTTTGATCATTGAGAAAAGTCAAAGTCAGTTTTCTCGAAACTATCACTATATATATATATATATATATATATATATATATATATATATATATATATATATATATATATATATATATATATATATAATATCTTAAAATCAATGATAATAATCATTGCTAACTAATCAAGTACGAATAAACTGGCACTGCATGATGGATGGCAATCTATATGCCGTTGCAGAGCTATGGCGGACGGAGATAATTGAAAACAATACTTTCTCACCTAATTTGTACCTTATGAAATATACAAAAGGAGTAACTTGCACTTTCGATTGATAATGTTGATATTCATAGAGATAATAATAATGACAACTCAGAGGGAATATTACGAAGGTAAAAAGTAGATGTACATAAAACATGATGAGATGCTCATCTACCAAAACTAATTTATGGATAAAACACATTTGGAGCATGTGGAGTTTTGAGTCATCGACTGGTGCTGTCGTACACGGCTTCAAAACATTAGTTCACCTACACATGTCTACACAGATCAGACCGACAGTCACAGACAGAAGTAATGATTTTATTTGTACTACTAATCTGAATTCAATGTTAAGTTATGAATGTAGACAGAAACAACATTCCTGGTTGACTTTCTTATTTGATGAGCGCTTCATAGTTTGCCATTATTGGTCACATTTCTGTTTATACATTTGACAAGATAACTGAATCTCACCCACGAATATGAAAACCTTTCCAAAAATAACTTACAACAAGACAGATAAAGATACTAAGTCCGTAGGAACTATCAAATTATAACTGGCATTTAATGAAATCGTACATAATTGCGTAAGTGTTGTCCCAACAGAAACACTAGATAATACTCAACAGTTGGTAAGATAAGAGATTAAGAGACTACAAAACAACTAGACATCATCACGGAAAATGACTTCTGTGAAATGGTGACTGCAGGAAACAAGACTGAAGACAGAGTAGTCATAGAAATACTGTACTACAAAGTCAGGAAATAAGTGAAGTGATAAAATAGTGGTTCACTTTTACAAGAAACTAGTACTTCAAATGCTGATACTACTACATAAACGAATAAGCGAGTAATATAGCATAGGATCTCTCACGAATCTCCATTAAGCAATAAAAGACCAATTTGGGAACCATAACCTTGGATGAGATAATAGACAGCTGTTTCAGCATATTCCATGACTTGTTGTTATTGTACATTCTCGACCATCCAAAACTTTTCCTTAAAATCTTCATGTATCACAGTGAATCGCTAGAAATTTAATCGTCTGTATTTCAATATTTAAACAACTTATGATAAAGTGTGACTCAATCATTTAATTTCATCGGTAAGTATTTACCTTCATTGAAGATTTAGCTTGCGATTACTATCAATTTCCTTTGAATCGTGAAAGTTCACTGTACCATCAGTCTACGACCTCAGTGGCACAGATGCACGCATCACACAATATCTTTATCTTGATTCTTCTACTTGTTTTTGTTCGTTATTAACCCCTTTCTTCATTTTCCCCTTCGTATAAACGACTATTATTTATGATTACGTCTTTTTCCACTTCTCTGTTTCTCATGCTGCTATGATGTATCTTGGATGTGGTGATGTGAACTGTAGCAATCTGGACCACCGCGCAGTCCGATGATGATATTGACTGACTGGTTGACGATGGGTAGTATGAGTACATAGGTAAATTTCTCAATAACAATCTGCAGAGTTTACCCGTTACAAGTGGCTCGACAGGAGTCAGAGTATGTGAAATATGAATGTACAGAACCACGGTACTTTCATGAACTTATAATTTAAAATAAACTGAGTGAATTTGCCGATTACCTTATTAATTAGTTTAGATAAATGCTATACAGCAGATATGCAGTAGAAAAAAGCATTGAAATGAACCAACTTAGCCATTGAAAAAGACGACATCTAAATGAACCATCTACAACAGTTTTATTGTCATTTCAATAATTGGCTGTTTAGAAGAAAACTGGGAAAAGTAGAATTTTAATTTAAGAAAAAGCAACAAACTAATTTGATTTCAGTCAGTTCCACTTATCATAAATCAAAGTCGAAAACGCACGGCTCAGAAACAGACATAGCAACACATATGAACATCTTTTCTGCTGTCATACTTGAAGTTTTATCGTCAAACTGAATTCGTTTTATGTGGTAGACTTATTTAACCAATGAAACACAACTATTTGCTGAGCATACTTCAGTTATACTTCGAGTAATTAACCGTATGAAAAACATTCGGGATTCTAAATGCTCCAAGAGGATAATGGACTGAATGCTAGAAATTAAGTACATATTTATTACGGTCCTTCTGAAATCGATTATATGTTAAATGATCACTTTTTATCTTTCACTACCTTCTGTTTTCACATAGCCTATGTGAGTTTTGCAACAGCGAAACAACGATTTTATCGACAAGGGCCAAAAACCCTTTATCAGTCGAATGTAGCGCGAATATTTAATTTTGTATTAGGTAAAAAACAATTGAGTTTACCTGACTTTCTTGAAACTTTCGACTGCTGAATGATAATTGTGGGAACAGGGTGGTAGGAACGACTGTGGACGGAGGTAATTGTTCAGCAATAGGGACATGTAGTTTACGAGGAAGGTTGATCTCAAAGGATGGTTCGGCAAAAGCTTCTTCTGATGATAGATCTTCACTGGAAATCAGATCATCTAAGTTAATCGTTGTAGCTGCAGATCCTTCTACAGGATGCCGAGTTAACCGACTGGCCCAAATTTGTGCAGGCTGAGATGAAGATAGGCAAATTCGCTGACTTGAATACTGAGGTTCATTGGTCAATCTAGCATTCGGATAAGATGTTGAATTGCCGGATATCTGTTTATTATTCATATATAAGGGCATGTTAGATGTACTAGATTCAGTAAAGTATTCACTTGTTAGAACTGATTCTGATCCCACTGGGTTAAACGGAAAGTGGTTGACATCAAAGGTCGAGATGGTAGGTGAAGCTTGTGCTGAGCAAGAAGATAAGAATACATCCGTCTGTGGTTTAAAATCAACTGCACATGGTTGTGCAATGACAACTGGTTTGTTTCGCTGATGTAGCCTTGCATTAAATTTGTTTGATATAAATCTCATATCAGCAGGACCGTTTGTATTGACTGTATTATGGAATACTGAACAATGACTTTGAATATCGTGGGAAGGAAATATTGCACTCTGACGCAACAGTTGGGAATGACCTGATATGTGAGGTGTTGAGTGATTAAATGTGCTTGAAGGTTCACAGAGACCTTCATTACCACTGATTTCGTCAGTAAGATTAATAACAGTACTAGGTGGACGGGAAGCCTGCATAATCCACGGGAACTGGTGACAGGAAGCGTTTGGGACTTGTCTGTAAAAGTAGGTTTCACGAAAGATATACACAAAGGTATTATTGCATGAAAATGATTATATATATATGTAGGACTGTTATCCGTAAAATATTGCCATAATGTTATTTGATATTTTACACCTTATTAAAAGTTAAACATAGGAAAAGCTTAAGAATAAATTTTACCCACCTTAGGATTTGTTGTCTTCTCTTTGCTTCACGCATCAGATAACGTAAGTCATGCTGACGTGGCACTCTGAGTTTCTCGTCGATGGTATGCACCTAAATAGGTGAAAAATAGCGTGAGACAAAATAAACCATGCATTTATGTGAAAATGTAGTGAGAAACGGAGAAATTACTATTGAAAATCAATCTTCCGAAGTTAAACACTGACTACTATCATTTAGATCACTTGCTCAGTTAGAAAGTATTTCAGACACCAGGAATTCAATTAATCATTCTCATGTGAACTTCGAATAACTAGAATGCTCCAGAATAAAAGGATAAGAAAGAAGTGGCACGATTTTTTGATGGTAGCAACGGATAAACTGTAAATTCATGAGTGTAACAAACAATCGACATTAAAAGTTGGAAATTTCAAATGATATGACCGAAAATGATTGTAGTGACTAAACCGTATCGTCGTCTCATATGCTATCATATTATGAACATCGTGCCTTAGCATTTTAACCCGCTTAATTTCTTTCCGTATCCTCACTACTTATATTTCTTGTTTTTCACATTGATTCTCCCTTTTTGTGCAAACATGAGATGCGGTAAGTCAGACTGATGCACATGCATTAGGCCATTCATTACTGGTTCCCTGTCACTCTAATAAATGAAATTTGAATAAAGAAGTTTAGCAATTAATCAAACTCTATTCGATCATAATGTTGATGTGTCGAATACATAGCCAGTCTTTTGTTGAATAAATCATTTAGTTGCAGATTTCAAGAAATTTCTTAATTGTATGATGAATCCCAACCAAGCATGTAGAATAACATTTTCTGTATTGAGTAATTTTATATATGCATTGTTCACTTTCCTTCTACCTAACAAAAACAGTAACAGTACATTGATATTGTGCACTCAGGAGTTCCAAAACATGAGGACAATGCATCAGATATTTGTAATATGTTTTAACATTGAATGATCATGTCTCACAGCTTAACAGCAGGACTGAACAAACTACCATACAATCGTACTATGATCCACAGTTAGGTATCTTGTCGGTGTCAAAAATGGCGCGATTCGGTGAATATCCGATGGACCTTTTTTATCCGAGATGAAACTTCACCAACAATCTCATTAGGGTTGACGCAACTTTCTAGATATGTAATTACTGGATCACAAGTAAACAAGTCTAGTTGGTTCTGGTCTCCGTGAATAAGTTCTATGGTCCAATCGATTCTTCTAAAAAGACTAACTGACGAAAGTATATTCATATTTTTCATTTATTTGAAGACTAAATAAATTTTCAAAATATCAAGGTTCTAAGGCAAAAAATTCATTTTTGTAAAATAAATCGGAGAAAAACCTTATGGTAATTTAAGTTCAGTGGATAAAGCTTTGTTCACTTTCATCACTTCTAGCGTTCATCTACACAACTTGCACGATAAATTATGGAGTGATATCTTATGTTATTTATGTCAATAAAACCCGAAAAACATGTAAACAGATAACACCTACTGTTCGGAGAGAAATTTTTAATCTCACTAAGATTTATGTTTACTACGCATGACAGGGTAAGCGCATTGATAGCGGCAATATAACTGTAGGTTTCTTAGTATACAGATTAATAGAAGGCCATTGTAAACATTTCAACAAGGAATAATTGTGAAAACTGTAAAATACAAGGATTTTAATTATATGAATGCAACTCAGTGACTAGATGCAGATTTGTGCACTAGACTAAGAGCCAAACATATTGTATGGGGGCCTATGATATCACCTGGAGCGAAATTGGAATCAGTGACCGACATTTTGAAAGTTGATCACTTACCTGAACCAATTACAGTTCCACAACAATTATAGTTTCGAAAAAATATGTAAGAAAATCCAGTCCAGTGAGTTTCACTATCATTACAAACTGAAGTCTTCATGTTGACCCAATCAAAAGAAAACATCAAGATGTTTACCATCGTACACAACTAAAAGAATTTTAGAAGTACAAGTCTTATATTCCCTTAGTAATTTCTCACTTTTTTCTCCTCATGAAAACTTGAGTAGAACGATATTTTCGCTAACTCTAACATCGATTACGCCGTGAGTTAGGTTTGTATAGGGCTTGACAAACACACAAGGAGGACTTTGAAAATGAAAACTAAGCACAAAAGAAATTTTTTAAAATGGAAGTCGCAGCCAAAAGTGGTAGGTAAGGGAAGTGAAACTATTACATTTGATACCGCTAACATATCTGACAAGACTCACATCTCACAAAACAAACAGGATAGACAAAAACAACGCAAGATCTCACACAGAACTGCATCGGTCTAAGTTTCTACACTTCATGGTATCACGCAAAGAGATATGGGACGATGAAGGTTAGTATCACAAAACAAGTACATAGCAGTACCGGGTAAAATTGAGTCTAAACATAAAAGTTTCAAAAAAAACACCCTGTATTATTTTCATTAACACATGAAACAGTGCAAAATGAGCGAAACAAAATGGTGAGATTAAATAAAGATATAAAAAAGTAATAAAGTGGATAATGTCAAAAGGAAAAACCTTACACTCACGGTGATTCTTATTTCACATCCACATACTGATTTGTAACAGGCTCATCTGTATCTTTGATATTCACACATTAGACACGTTGAGTTACTGCGTTAGGCTACCGTAGTGACATCAAACCAGAAAGTTATACAGTACCTGCAAACGTTAATCGAACGAAACTCGATTCCCACTCAAATCCTGTGTAAAAAACCAACCACGTACATACTTATGTAGAAAGCATTTGTTTAGGGACTGGTCAAACTGCCAAACCTCAGGAGTGAAGCTGTTTACAACCCGTTAGTCACTACTTGAAAGTTTTTTTTATACCAATAAGCCTCAGCATCAGTACAGTTTTGAAAAAACGTCCATTCAGGAACACGTTTGAAAAATGTGTGATATAACTTTAGTTAGTTGTGGGTTAAACATGAAGCTTATTTCACCATGCTTCACTAAATTTGACCAGTGCTACAGCGATAGCAGTGACGGAACTTGGAGTTATCTCGTGAAGTCTCACTGTTGATCCGAGCCGTATACTGAGGTGCACGCTATCTAATTAGGGTACTAGAAACCATAGGAATCAATCGGTGATGTAGCTAAAAATCGGTAAAGTGACGTACATATATACACCCTTCACTACCTTCGAAATCTCGACTGTTTTCAATATCCCTCACACATTTATTCTTTCAACCTCCACATACTTTTGAATACATTAGCATAGCCTTTTCAATCTACTCATTCTTTGAATGCGATTGTAAAGTGTGGCACCATCATTGTCCATTGACCAGGCGTCACTGTGTAACGGTCCGAGTTGCCATAGCTCACATCAGTACATCAAGGTACAAAGATAGTGAAGTGGAAGATGAAGAAGAGAAAATTCAGTCGAAAGAAATACAAGGTACTAAAAGAGAGAAATCAAGAATGAGAAAATGGTGAGATTCGATATAGTGTCGTCAAGATGAGGATAATGCGCCACTGGCATCGGTTGTAAACCACATCACCTAAACTCCAACCACTGGTTTCCTTTTCCCTGAGGACCCCAACCGGCTAGTCAACATCGCTTAAAACAACAGTCAAAGACTTCGAGCATTTTTCCAGTTTGAACCTGCTTCGGCCAACAATGTGTGACGAGTAAGACGGCGACTAGGCATACATAACACGTCCCAACCATCTCAGTCGATGAAGGTTCACAACCTCGTCAACTGACTTACCTCTTCTCTCTAAAACTCTACGCCTGACTTCTGCGTTACTCACATAGTGACACCACGGAATACCACCTATACTACGAAGGCAACGGTTGTCAAACACTTGAAGCCTTCTATTGTCTTCCACCTTCAATGGCCATGTTTCACAGCCATACAGTAGAACAGACCGGACTGCCGTGCAGTACACATGACTCTTAATAGACAATCGGTTATCACGACGGCGCCATAGGTGGCGTAAGTTGGCAAAAGCCAACAGAGCCTTTTGTATTCATGCAGGGATTTCATCGGCCACTGAGCCACCAGGGCAGGCCTGATCCCACTTCCCAGCTGAGTCAAGTGGTCAACACACTTAACCAACACACTCTCCATTGTTAGCCGAGGCACCGTAGAAGACCGATACTGGAGCAACAATTTGCATTTGGGTGGTTAAAAACACATTGCAAACATTCTCAAATTGCCACTCAAAGTGTCCAGAAGACTCTGCATATTGTCAGCATCTTCATCTAACAGAACTATGTCATCGGCGTATTTTAGGTCTGATGAAAATTCTCCCGCGATTAGGTCAACATCTGTGTAGTCAGGTGACGAGAAGGAGACCTGTATAAGAATATCTATGATAAAACCGAATAAGATTGGAGACAGTAGGCAGCCTTGACGGACAACACTCGACTGGCACAGCTCCCCAGATATCTCACCATAGGCTCTAACACGCCCACGAGTGTTGGAGTAGAGAGCCATCAATAAGGTAATGTACTTACTCGGCATGCCTTGCAGTGAGACACATTCCCAGACTTCTAGACCGAGTCGAATGTCGCCTTCAGGTCGAGAAATACAGCTGTTGTCGGGCGTCGGTAAGCGTGCCTATGTTTTAGAACCTCACGCAGTGTAAGTAGTTGATCAATACATCCGCAGCCGGGTCAAACGCCTGCCTGGTTTTCCCGAGTTTGCTGTTCCCGAGCTCCACTCAGGTGTCGAAGAACTATAGAACCTAGGATCTTAGAAACTTTATTCGTCAGGCTAATTCCTCTGTAGCATAATCAATATCAGTCAATTATTCATGCTTTAAAAACAACAAAATGAATGGGTTTCCACACCATGCGATTATGATCCAAATGACGGAGAGAGCGACAGAATGTTTCACATGCTGAATATATATATATATATATATATATATATATATATATATATATATATATATATATATAACCTCGCCTGGCCAACTAGTTCACTAGTTACTAGCCAGTCCTAAACCCGCATAAACAGGGAAAATTGGGCATACGGCTAGCAACCCTAACCCAGAAAACCAATCCAACCACTAAAGAAACTTCAAAGCACAAACAAAATATAAGAAATAAACTTATTCCTCGCTGGGACCGGAGGGACGAAATGATGCCGGTTGGTGAAAGCCTTCGGGAAGCCAACTGGCCGATGTGTCTTCGCCTTCCTCGATGAAAGCGAAAGTAAACATGGGGACATGGAATGTCCGCACCATGTATGAACCTAACAAGGCTGACCACATTGGAAAAGAGATGAGAAGGTATAGCAGAGAAGTGCTTGGAATCTGCGAAAGTAGATGGAATGGAAGTGGACTCTCCAAATTGTCAACTGGAGAGTCAATAATCTACTCCGATATTGTCACGCAGACGACAGCCACGAGCACAGTGAATTTCGAAGTGGCTATCATGATGTCCCCAACAGCATCAAAAGCTATCATGCAGTGAGAACCAGTCTTCTCCTGTAGGATCATGACAGCAAGATGCAACTCAAAAGGAGAGAAAGTCACAATCATGCAATGCTACGAGCCAAAAAATACAGCAGATCAAGAGAAGAAAGAGGAATTCTACAGACAACTGCAATCAGTACTGGATAAGATTCCAGTTGGCGACATCAAAATTCTAATGGACGACATGAATGTCAAACTGAGAGCGGACAGCAAAGGAGGAGAACTTATCATGGGTCGAGAAGCACTCAATGAAATGAATGAGGACGGAGAACTGTTTGCAGATTTCTGCGCATTCAACGATTTGGTGATTGGAGGCAGTGTGTAAGAACATAAGGATATTCACAAAGCGACATGGATTACACCAGGTACCAGGACACACTTAAAATCAGAACGACTTCATCTCAATCTGAAGAAAGTGAAGACGCAGCTTACTGGACACAAGTTCAGATCACGAGGGGGAGCAGATGTAGGTTCACACCACTCACTATCTACTGCAAGGAATCTACCTTCAAAATCAAGTTGAAAGCCTTCAGAGAAATTGATGGTAGATCACAGTTGAAGTTCAACACCCAGAACGGAAAGTGAAGGACCAAACTATAAAGGATGTCTTCAGGTCAGTCAGTGATCAGGAGAAAATGGGAGAAATTAGACATCCCCGAAGATACTTGTACGGAAGAACACTGGAACTCTCTGAAAGCTATGTAGAAAGAAACCTGCATAATCGTGTCAGGAAGGAAGAAGAAAGAAGACAAGGAATGGATCTCGACAGAGACATGGAAGCTGATGGAGGAAGAAAAGGAAGATGGTGAAGCAGAAGACAAACCAATGCAAGGATGAACAAAGAAAAGAGAAACTGAACACAACCTATGAAACACTGGACAAAGAAGTGTAGAAGAGTGCTCGCAAACATGGAAAGACACTTCTACGTCACACTGACAAGTGAAGCAGAACTGGGTGCTGCTAGGAGAGACCTGATAACACTATATCAAATAACCAGGTTACTATCTGGGATGGAAGACATCAATGCAGATGAAATCAATGAAAGATAGTGAAGGAAACCTAGTTACCAAAGAGGAGAAACAAAGGAAACAATGGGGTGACCACTTCAAAAAACTCTTGAATCGACCATCACCACCACCTGCGACTCGTCCAGAAACACCATCAGCAGCCTAACCACAGAATTACCAGTGAACACAAGCCCTCCAACAAAAGCCCAAATCCTGAACGCAATCAATTTGCTGAAATACGGAAAGCAGCAGGACTAAATGAAATTCCTCAGGAGGCACTGAAAACAGACGCAGAGACAACAGCGGAATGCTCATATCACTACTGCAGAATGTTTGGAAGAAAGGAAATGTACCTGCCCATTGCTTGTAAGGAGGGCTACCTTGTCAAACTTCCAAAGAAGGGAGACCTAAGTCTTTGCAAGAACTGGAGCGTAATGACTCTCCCGTCCACCCGAAGCAAGCAAAATATTAATCCGCATCATCCTGGAGAAACTAAAAGATGTGCTGGATTCAAAATTACGACCAGAACAGGCTGGCTGGCTTCATGAAGAACAAATCATGTGCAGATCAAATTGCAACACTACGCATCATCATACAACAGGGTATAGAATGGCAGTCAACTCTCTGCCTCAACTTCATCGATGTTGAAAAGGCCTTCGACAGCGTCGACCGAGAAGATATTTGGCAGCTGCTTCAACACTACGGAATACCGCAAACCTTTATAAACCTCATTAAATAGCTATATGAAGACGCCACATGCCAAGTGACTCATAATAGAAACCTCAGTGACGCCTTTTAAGTGAAGACAGGAGTAGGACAAGGCTGCGTACTATAGCCCACGATCTTCCCGATTGTGGTGGACTGGATCATGCAGCAAGCCGTGAGGAGCGAGAAGACGAGCATACGCTGGACCAAAGAAAAGACCTTAGAAGATTTGGATTTCGTCAATGATGATTTATATCTAATGTCGCAGATCTACAGGCAAAAACCAACAAGAAGAGGCAGAGAAAACGGGACTTCAAGTGAACGTAGATAAAACGGTCGTAATGAAGATACCCAACCAACAATAACAGGCACCAATCATTATCAACGGGAGAAACCTTAAAGAAGTTGCCTCTCTCACCTACCTAGGCAGCATCGTTTCAACTACAGGCAGCAGCACAGATAATGTCAAAGCCAGGACCGGAAAAGCAAGACAGATCTTCATTGTTCTGAAATCAGTGTGGAGATCTACTGGACTCAATTCAGCATTAAGAAAAAGACAAATACTAATTTCAGTCAAGTCAGTGCTTCTATGTGGTGGTTGAGAGATTTGCGCCTTACGAAAAGCATTTCCAACAAACTAGAGATTCATCAACAGCTGCCTACGCTCGATGCTGAAGATCAGATGGCCAGAAAGAATAAGCAGCAAGGAACCCTGGCAACGAAGCAACCAAAAACCTATCACCCAAAAAATATTCAGAAAGTGGAGATGGATTGGGCATACAGTAAGAAGACCATTTGGAGACATCACGTGCCAGGCCCTCGAGTGGCATCCAAAGGGGAAACGAGTTGGACGTCCGAGGGTGACAAGACTGAGGAGATTGTATGAGGAAGAAATGAAAGCTTGTGGGCAGTCATGGAGCCAGGTTGAAAAGACTGCAGAGAATAGAGTGGAACGGAGACGTGCTACTGAAGTCCTATGCTCCACTAGGAACCCAAGAGACAGGTTATATATATATATATATATATATATATATATATATATATATATATATATATATATATATACGCGAAGATCGCTACACACTCAAGTTACCCACCTTTTGTCAGTGGTGTATCCACAGGGTCAACAAATTGAACGAAGCAAGCTACTTAAGGTTCAACTTAAGCTTTAGAAATTCTAAGCACAAAAGACGAAACAGGACACTGCCTATACAACAAGCTTATTGAAATCACTTCTTTAATTTACTCACGCCTAAATTTTGCTATAGATGGTATTTAATGAACTTTAAAACTGATGTCAAAAGTAATATAATCAGCCGACAACTTCACTAATCCAAAAGGCATATAAGACAGTTTATTATATAAGTTGAAAAATCTACAGAGCATCACATCAAAAGTATAGTCTTAAGATTCACCGAAGTAAAAGGGTGTAAAGTGAGAAATCACACGACAAAACAGAAACTTACTGTACATAAAACTGAATTTTTGCACTTAATATCATCCAACTCTAAACATCCGCATTGAGTCATGGGATCAAATGTATCGTCTGAAAAAAGGAAAACATAATCTCTATTTTAAGTAGATATAAATCAAGCTCATAACTAGTGTACTTGATACCGACCAAAAATTTACTACCGTGGTGTGGAAGACGGATTTTTCTATTGCGATGAACTAGCCAGGTTGTGATAACTGAAGTGATTGCTACAATATTGTCAAAAAATCGAGTGAGATCGAAAGACTGATACAGTTTTAGTGTAAATAACTTTAGTGTGAAGGGGATATGAGGGCGAAACAGGGCCATAGACTAAAAATGAATGAAATGGTAGCAAAGCAATTTCGTCAAAAACAGTCTTCTCAGAGATACTGCACTGTATTGTCGAATATAAATCATTGCACTCTGCATTCACCATAAAGCTTTTCCTTGTTCAAAATAATGTTCATCAGGAAATAAATGGGACAGTTTGAAAAATGAACATCTCTAAAATATGTTTGTCATTGATCTGAAGGTGTCTTCCGATTTCCGTAGTGAAGTAGTAATGACTCCTTTTCTCGTCACGGTACTTCAAAACAATGATGTCAACGGTGAGTTTACTTATAAAACAAATCCTCCACACCTCTCATTTTCCTATCTTCATCATTTCCTTTAGTTGTAAAAATTACTGCGTCTACGTTCAAACGAATCGTTACTCTTAAGCCAACGAAATAGTGTACATGGAGTACAGCGAAAAAATGGAGTCGCTTTGCTCAACGTGAAAGATTTAATTAACCATATGCAGATAACTTTGGTCAAAAGACCAAGAATGTCACATTAGCCGATAACTTCAGCCTTAAAACAGTCGGAGTTACGAAAGACATTTTAATGGTGGTCCTGATATCCAACTTGATGAACAGACTATTATCATAGTGCAGGCGATCTCAAGTCAACAACAGCTGTCGACGTAAATTAATTGGCTGTCATAGTTACTGGCACTAACTAACCACTAAGAAAAAATAAACAGAACTGTATGCTATCACTAGGAATTTGAGGAAATTATCAACTTTGTAGTATGTACTTTGATTCCTAACAGGTGCCTGGATATGTTTAATAGACAGCTAAGTAGTAACATGAGTACTTCAAACGCACAGTAACTGACTTATAGATAACCCAAAACCAGCAAAAAGTGGTCATCGATTCTCATTCTGATTTATTTTCGACAAATATACTGATAAACTTATTATCGTGGAACTAATCATACAGGATAATTTCATGACGTGTATGAAAGCCAGTTCGGGTAAATTAGACAAATAATCAAGACAACTAAGTACAAACAATCTATTAGTGCTCTACAAATAAGCACCATATCAAAATCATCTGCATTTTTAGAATCAACATAAGATAAACTGAAAAAGACAAGCTTGCGTAATGGTAGGACATTCGGGACAATAAAACAAAGCGAAAGATTTCGTTTCTCGGTCGTCCAGTATTAAGTACAATTAGTTAGCATCAATGCAAGACATGAATATATTGCATAACGGCGTAGGCTGCCGAACCTAATATCACCACACTAAGGTAGTAGGTGCTAACACCTAACACGGATAAATAATACAGCATCCCTGGACGCCTAAAACAGCGTTCTAAGCTACACATTAAACTTTTCAATCTGTGTATCCTATATCAAATCAGACAACCAGCTTTGTTGATGTTGAATGGCTGTGTTTGTAAAGGGCAGACGCATCCCTGATATGCATTTTAAGCCATATCACAAAGTCTCGAACCATCGATTTCAGTAGTCACGTGAATCCCAACCTGGAAGTCTCCACTTCCTTACAATCGAAGACTTCATGTGTGACTGTGTTATAGGGTAGATGGTGATTAGGCATATGTAATATATTTCAGCCATCTCAGTCGATGAATGTTTACAATTTCACCAACTTTCCTTTCATATACACCTGAGTCCTACGTTACTGACGTGGTGGCAGCAAAACACACGATTTTAGGCGTCCAGGGATGCTGTTTTGTGAACACAAATCGTTATAGTTGGAGACTCTAGGTGACATGACTCAGAATGTATATCATTAGCGCGTCTGCACTCACAAACACAGCCGGTTAACATCAACGACGCGGGTTTTCCCATTTGACATAGGATACGCAGACAAAAAATCAACGTAGGACCTGGGCACAGAAATGAACCGGTTCAAGATGCCGCACTTCACAGTAATGTAGGTGTATGAAAAAAGGGTAGTATCAAAGTAAATAAAGTAGTGTGAGAGAATAAACAGTCTGAAGATAGAGATTAGGGTAAATATCCAAGCTTTAGATGTCAAAAACTGAATACATTTACACCATTGTAACCGATTTCTAGCCATTTCACTGAGAGGCCTCAACTATTGATACATTTTGTCTCAGGGGCCGACCCAGGTAGTCCAGGTTCTCCATATGACTCAGACCAACAGTAGACTTCATCAACTGGTGCCACATCTTAGTTTGACCACTCTGAACACTATTGCAGCCTAACCCAACCTTTCCTAGCATGGCACGTCGAAGTAGGTGGTGAATCGACATGCGCAATACATGTTCAAGCCACCTCAATTGATTGAGGTTCACAACCTCAACAACCGACTTGCCTAGTACTCTTCGCTTGGCCTCAGCATTGCTCACACAATGATTCCACCGAACGCCAGAAATGCTATAAAAATACTTATGATCAAAACCCTTTGAATGCTTTATGTTGTCTACTTTTAACGCTCATTTCTCACAGCCGTACAACAGGACAGAAGACTCAGCGCAGTACACTCGTTTTTTGACAGATAGCCGGATATCCCCCCAGTCGGCACCAGAGATAACGCAAACTGGAAAATGTCAAACGAGCCTACTGCATCCGAGCTGAGATTTCGTTACCAATCACCCCATTAGAGCTGATGCAGCTCACCAAGTAAGCGAAATTATCAAAACATTCCAGAACTTCACTCCAAATCATCAAATTAAAAGTACCTGTGGCAGAACAGTCCTGCAGCATCATCTTGCATTTCACAAGTGCGATCGAAGCCCAAGCCAAACATCCTCAGATTTCCGCTCAACGCATTCAGAAGACCTTGCATTTTTTACAGTGTCTTCGCCAAGTAGAATATGCTCTGCAAACATCAAATCAACCCGATATCTTCCAGGATGTCGACTTATCCCTGTGAATTCGGACGTACCTAACGTTACGTACATCAGTACGTCTATGAAGAAGTTTAATGGGAACAGTGACAGTGGGTTTACCTGACGGACACCACTAGTTGTCGTCACTTAACATGACGACTCTTCATAAGCACTTAGACGGCTGAGTTTGAGTAGAGTTGTGATTAGCGCTATATGCTTGCTCGATACTCCCTTCACAGTCAGACACTGTCACGACACCTCACTGTCGATAGAGTCAAATGCCGTCTTCCAGTCAAGAAATATGACAATTGTGGGCGGCCGGTAAGTTCGCCTGTTCCAGAATCTTTCGGAGTAAAAATTTGATCGATGCACTTTCGCCCAGGTGTGTCTGAAGCCTAACTGGCTTTTCCTAGTTTCCTGTTCTCGTGTTTCAGTTAGGCATCAGATAACTATGGATCCAAGGATCTTGGACACAAAATTATTAAAACTACTTCCGCTATGATTGTCACAGGAAGACTTCTCTTCCTTCTTATAAACTGGAAAGATCATTGAAGTAAACCAGTCTGATGGCACTACCCTACATTAACTAGTACCTAATCAGCGATTTCCTACCTCTATTCTTGAAACGGTCAGGTGGCGAACTGTCATATCCTGTTGCTTTGCATCCTTTCAGCTTCAAAACGGTTTTATCAACAACAATAACAACAACACAAGGTTCAGATTCAGGATAGATGTTGGGCTAGTAAAGCATTTTTGGAGACCAGCTGAACTCGGCTTCGAAGTGTTGTGCCTAACGTTGCAGGATCGCACTCCTTTCGGTGATAATTTGACTAACTACCGTTTTTCTCTTACCGATATTCTCAATGAGGCTAAATAGTTGCCGAGTGTTACAAAACCGTAATGCATTCTCCTTCTCTCACTCTCGCCACTCATCAACGCTAGCGATCGCTGGGAACTGTTGGTCAAATTAAGCATCTACCATGGAAAACGTGGTCTGGATTCGCATACGATAGGTATACTTACCTCAGTTTGGACCATCGATATTATTAGGCGATAATTCTACTGCGGGGAATTTATTGTCAAAGAGGTTTTTTAATTCAAAATATATTCTTTCATTTCCTTTTTGAGGGTCCAACACAATGTTTATTTTTAAATCTTCGGCAGCAAATATGTGCTAAGGGAAACCTATCGATTCCAGTACATACTTCTTTTCATACATCCGTTGAGCACAACAACCAGCTGAAATAACATAATAATCCAACCGAACGTCACCTATAACCTAATGAGCGAATGCTAGGAACGTTTGGTTACTAACCATCCAAAGTTTAGTGAATAAATGCAAGTTTCACAGTCCACGTCAGTCATCACGTTATAAGCAAGTAATATACCCTCAACTTTCTGTGAAATTAATGTCTAACTGACCGCTCTCAAACACTTCCAATAGACGTTTCACGTGGTGTCTTTTGTAATACGAAATAATAGTATCATTAACAAACATTGCGTTAAATGTAAATTCCCTAATTCACGACACTAGACTTATCTATCCCACAGTAGCTCACTCATAGAGCTTAGGTTCACCGGATATAAATGTCTTCAAGTTGAACTACTATCTCAGTTTTTCAGGTGAACCCTTAAGGGACGCTTAATTATAATTCAAAAAACTTGAAAACTTATATCAAGATCATTAAACCGAATGCTTGGCAAGCCACGAAAACTCCACTACCTGAAAGTTCTTCACGAAACTTCTCTTTATCAACGATTTAAGTAAGGGAGACGACGTTGTTCTGTGATTCTCGAAGTGTATCATGTGTACGAAATTGATAGACAGTTTCTGGCGAACGTTGTCGAAACTTCACCGTAACTTTTAATAGGGATGAACAGCCAGTTTTTTATGTGGCTCCATATATGCCCTCTTAGTTCATCGGAACTTTCTACGGCAGGCGGAAACTCCTAGGGTTACCGCCATGTCTTAAGCGTTATTTTAAAAGTTCTACTTTCAACACTTCGTTTCATATCTTGCCATGAGGCAATGCATTCAAGGAATAATTCCGTGATGTCTAACATAACAATCATCTACGCTAATTTTAACAGGATATTCGTTGCAAGCGAAACGTTTAGTTTCGGTGATGTTGGTTCTCTTGGCATCTGTACAGAACAGGAGTAGATATTTTTTTGGAAAAACAGCTCCTTATGGTCAACGTTGTTACCATAGAAATTTCAGAACGAACATTCAGGGTGCCTTGTTTCTTACCAAACGGTCATCCAAAAAGCAACCACGAGCATAAGCACGAGCACCCTCGAACAGGGTATCAAATTGTGATATGTGAAGTACATATAGATTTCGGCCAGTCGCTTGCAGATATTAACGCAGATATTCGCGAAACACACGCCGAAGCAAAATACTAAACATTACATATCAAATACTAAATTTTGTAGCTGGGCACATTTAGATACAGAAATTAACGCAAACATGTGGCACTGATACAACTCGTTGCGTATCATTGATTTCAAGTCCATATTTGTATTTGTGGGAATTGTGTTTGAGGTGGAGACCAGTAGGTGTTAACGCCAGGTAAAGCCAGGCCTATATACAACAAATGTACATGAAGTATCAGCTAGGATGAGAATTTTAGGTGATGAAAGCAAGGTAAAGATAATGCTGTGGGCTTTAGTCGTCATGAAGCTGAGACGCAATGCTAACCCTCTGTATTCGAATCTCTAACAATACCCATAGTTGACAGCTGCAGGTGCCTGACACTATGAGGTTAGATGTCCATTGTCTACAAAGAAGAAAGTAGTGATTTATCTCTTGAAGCGTTAAACTGTTACGCTTTACATAGTTATTCATTGTGGGCGACTCTTAAACTAATGAAGTGTTTGACAAAACGTTTTCCTTTAATTGGTCAAGAGGATGATTTGTGTTTTGCAGCTAGTTAGCAGACGAGGCAGTGGAGTTCAGATGAGATACTGTATCATGAGATTCTTTCTGAAGTGGATAGTGAGAGACGGTGAAGTACACAAACACTCCTATATGCCCAATCAATCGAGAGAGAGACATACAAACCACATATAGCCTCCAAGACCATACACACACCAAAGCACTGACTCCGGAAAATCAGTAAACTTGTCAGCATTTTGGAACGCGGATGCATCCACAAGAACGATATAGGATACCGGCGTCTCGCAGCTGAATTTGTAACACCACCAAGCCAGAAAATTCACTCACTTCCACTTACACGTTCACGAGAACTAGCAAAAAACTAAATAAATTCTATTCCGTCGTATCATAGAAACATCAAAAGCATTACGTAATTTGGAGCGGATATTTCAAGAGTTTCCTGTCCACAGCTTGATGAATACGATCTACAGTGTTTCGTTTATTAAGGTGTGTTATCAAAATCAACAAAGAGAAGATTCGAGAGATTTCAAAATGCAGCTGGAATCGTTATTCCACAAGCCGAAAATGCCAACAGAGACTACAGAGGAGAAATCAGCTTGGGACCCCATGGCTTAAAATCAACAACTACAAAGAAACAACTGGAAGGAAGACGAATGATGGCCAGAGGCTATCGGCGTGCTGCTAGATATATCTCATCAACCGATTATTCCTAGTTTCCCACTTCATGGGAGGAAATATCTTGAAGAAGCGAGGCTGGGTGCACTGTGAGTTCACCCTCAGCATATGTTTCCAACAAACCGTACGAGTTATCTTGTTAAAAGCACTGACTTTTGTCAACTCTGCAGAATGTTTCAAGGAACCTTACAGCCATAAATGGGAAAAGGCAAACTATGGCTTTCAAGACCAACATCTGACCTCACCTATCCAAAGTAATACATTTAAGTGAAACGGCTTTTGGTGTTGTGCTTCCAAGCAAACGAAAGTAAAACCCATCTACCACCATCCAACTCAACATAAGCTCTCTGAAGCTAATTAGGATCCCAAAAGTGTTCAATAGACCCTCCAGATATAGTGAGACTTCGAAAAAGTGTGCCAGTGCCAGTATAACCCATTTGCGTCGGTACGGATAACAAACTTGACAATGAAACAAAACTAGCAGTCATCAGTGAAAAATGAGAGCAGTCTAACGGATCAAATTATTTTTCATACTTCAACTTTGTACCATCAGTTTGAATTCTTCTCAAAGTTCACTTTCAACATGTTATTGGATGCAGGATGGTGAAGAACCCAAAAAAGCCACTCTAACCTTCCCTCGGAATAACCAAACGCAAGAGAGAAGTATCCTTAAATTACTTCTCTCAAACAAACTACATGTTAGAACTTACGAGTTCAACGGTATGTTCACCGATGAGGACTAACACCACGGTTATGGATTTATCTTCAACAACCCATCACCCGTAGTTTCCATAACAAGACCTGACATACTAATCCATAAACAGAACGTCAAGGCACACTTATGGACGCAACTTTAAAGGATGAAGATGCCTTAGTCTTCATACTTTGAGACTCAGGGTAACCATAAGCAGTACCCGAAAATCACAAACACTGACCTGATTGGCTTCCGAAACTGTGCCTTTGATTGATGCGCGTAACAGGAAAGTAATATGATGCCGAGTGTGAAGCTCCGTGCATAAAAGTCACACGGATTTATTTTCAAATACGAGTGCTATCGATAGGATGGAGTTTATCTACTACTTCGGTTCTCATCTGTGCTTTTCTCCACATTTGAATCCCCACTCTAGTTACTCAGCTGGGAAAACATGATGTCATACGAATATTCACAATCTATTGTAACAACTACGTAGGACGTCAAAGTTAAACCACAAGTTGTAGGTACTTGGTGTAAAAAATTTATAATCAACTTTTTGAAGAAAGTACAATAGGTCGGTAATGAGCGCCACCTACCAACTTTCATGAGAATATCACACCTGCGGACAGCGAGTATTACAAAACTCCTCACCGAAAGCCACACTTTAAGGGGACAGACGACAGTATAACTTCCGGAAACAGCCCAGATATACACATTTAAATTAGTGCTTGCAAACTCAAGTTGGCACGGCCCTAGAGGCCAGAAAACTCTTTAGTTGACAGACCAGTGAAATCCAGGTTCCAGTTTATAAATTTTCATCATATGAATTCTGAATTAAACTTGAATAGCATTCCAAAACTATTACAGAAAGTCAATATAGTGGCGTGCAATCAATAAAAGTTCCTAGAACTGTACAAGAGATAAGGAAAAAAAGACTGTGAATAATCACCTACAGGCTAGATTGCAGTACTAATTTCATACGAAAAACTGGTAGTGTGGGACTAACTTCCTAGCTGGAATTGAAAGAGGACCACGTTTTTAAACGACATTCTACCTTCAAACGATGTCACAACATGGCTCACTTAGTTGGGAACCAGTTCGTTTTTAACCTTGAAAATCCTACAAAAGTACCCAAAATAACCGACCAGTTGCACACGTTTAAACAGCATGACTCTAATACTGCCCAATGTCACTTTATCCCGTGACCGGTTTGAAGGTAGGATGCTGAACGGGAGCCATGAGATGCCAGTTAACCCGCGAGAACACAGGCTTGTGAGGCGACAAATAAAGGACGGTTTAAAAAGATAATGTTCAAACACGTTAACAACGTGTAAGTGCATACGAGATTCAAACCGATGGTAGACAGCAATTGTGTCTGGATCGCAAAAACTTCTTCTGAAATGTTTACCTAACACAGGTTCCTGCAAAGTACAAGGAACAAACGATATCTCTGATAATTACTACAGTAAAGAATATAAGCAAGAGTACCCACCTAAATCCTCCAAGAACTCTTGTAATTCATCGGTATCCGTCATGATGCCAGATGGATCAGGCCAGCTAGTCTGTGACGAACCATCACTTAATAGATCTGGTTTACAGGATTTTTCTGGTTGTAGTATGATACTTGGTTGGATGAAACGGTTGGAATCACCAGAAGTGGAAGTATTTCTACCTTCTGAATGTTCTGCCTGGTAATACTGTGGGATGATAGTTGGAGTGAAATGAACACCTTTTATGTATCTAGGGGTTTGATTAAGCAAGATTCTTTGGTTTCTTGAAGGAGTTGATAGGCGTTGAATCGCCATCAAACGTCTGATGTTATCAGATCTACATGTTTCGGACGATGTGGGTCGTTCATCAGTGACCCAACCATGAAAACCATTTCGCCGCATCTCATTCTTAACTGTTTCACAATCCGCCTCTTGATGACTGTTTTTAAGGCTAAACACACTTGCTGCTGTTACACTGTTGAGAGCCATTTCGGGCAATGCTTCTTTAGCAAACATAGCCTGAGAGGAAGTGGAACCGAATATGCGATTGTTTTGGAGACAAACCGTGGGAAGTTTACTTCTAATTTTGCACTTTCCCATTGACCTTATATCTGATAAAGCAAAGGAGCCAATCGTTTTCGCATTATTCACACTGACAACAGTTGTAGGAAGAGTACTGCTAGGATCAGAAATAGGATGCTGTTCGAATAAACCAATCCCGCTGCTGGAACTAGAGTGAGAAGAACGTGAAACTGGGCGATTCGGAACTTCAGGGCGGAACTGACTGAAACCAAGTATCGTATCGTCGGACACATTGGACGGACTTGAGCTTGGAAGGTGTGGAGACAAGGAAGGAGTCGGCGGATATGACGAACAATGAAGAACTGACTGCGTTTGAGAGCCAATGCCCGAATCATTAGAGTGATTAAAACCCGAACCACATTCAAACATATCTTTACTCGAGTGGCGACTTTGCTCGAACTGACTCTTATGAGTGAGTTCACCGTAACTACTCGAACTTGGGTGCTCTTTTGAACAAACAACTGACCAAATAGATCTCTCAGAGATCTTTTTTTCTACAGATACTTTCACCGCTTTCCTCGGTAACTCGTTATCCTGCACGACTCTTCCGTCTGATTTCGCTAGTTTCAGTAGCACTGGTTCTCTGAGTTCTTCATGTTTCTCAACTTTAGTCTTTTCTCTTTCCCGAACACCATCTGATGCACGAGGCTTTCCTACTTTGCTTGAACCAAGAGTGGTATCTACTGTGCTATTTACAGTACGCTTATTATGTTTGATGGGTGCAACCTTAGTGCGCTTAGAAGCACGATCCTTTTTGGAGCCTATTTCAGCTTGACATTCACACCAGGACACAGCTTCATATGGTAATACAGCAGAAATAGATTTTGAGGACTCTGAATGCCGATCACCTAGGATAAAAAAAATATCATATTAAAGGGATGGGGAACAAACCATAATGCATCGAGATACTCTCCGGGAGAAGGATAACGTTACATATTTCACATTTAATAAGGTAGTCGATAGTTGAAAACTGGCTTTTCAGAAAGGGAAAATCTAGATGTTGATTTGAGTCCACCTTCAGAATGGAACTTACCGCTAAGCTTGATACTGTTAAAGCAGTCAGGAGATTCATCTGCAATTAATCACATTAAAAATACTACATTAACTGACTAATATTGTCAACAGATTGATCAAAAATGAAGTCCTCCCACGGATTTTTCACATCTAGATTTTTTTAGTGGATATTTATTTCCTACCCATTATGTATGGCTACATACAGAGACCCTTCAACGAAAATACACATCCATAAACAATGTTGTTATATACAAACATTATTCATCTGTAGAAATACCACTAAATCATCACGAAAAAGATTTCGCCATTCGCTTAGCATGAGGATACTCTTATTTCTCCGTAGGACCCCCTAATTGTGCACAACTGACAAAAAACAGCTGTATGCAAAGCACTCATATGCAACTAGTTTTGTCGAGCGCGCTACAACTGAGCGCTGTCAAACAAAATAATAAAATCACTTCAGAAAATTAGCAGAATACAGTTGGATATGGCAGCAAAATACAATATCTCCTATTGTCTGGCTTAAGAACATGTCAGACTTTTCTATCATAGGCCCCCAAACATTCAGCGGTACAGGAAAACAAACTTGATATGCTCTAAACTATTCCATCTTCAATTGGGTGAGGGCTTTGGCCAAGTTAGCGCCTCTACTAAGTATCCCGAGGAAAATACTGAATGCGACTCGCCATCTTTCATACCAAAATGCACTTGTGGAATTTCACTTCTCGTAACCGCCTGGTGGAGATGGCCATCTTTGTGATAATGGGAGTTCCTCGTTTTACCGGATGAAAGCAATGCCTCATCGTCAGTTTAGCAGGAAAATATACGCTCTAGAAGACATGGGCTACAAAACTGTCCCGATCTGTTGGCTTTCACCCATCAGAAGATTAAGTAGAACAAATAGGTCAATTACTCCCAGCCGTTTTCGGTGTGCATGGAATTGAGACATATTTAGAGGTTTTCTCGGCTGTCAAAACTGTTCTGGTCAGCTTTTGCCTTCTGGCATTTTTGAGGTTTAGCGAGATATCAGGTGTAGGAGGGATTCTTTTGCTCATATGCAACTTTGTTATTCCTTCATGTCGAGGACTTTTACTGACGTCTGATTAATTCTGGCACTACAGACCAATAATGGTGACCTACCGAGCAGTCAGAAAACACATTCAAACTTTGGAAAGCATTTTGCCTCTTCAGCAATAACCAACTTATCGTAGCTTTCAGTCAATTTTCTATTTTATCGACCAACTGTCACGTGGTTGTGTTTCACATGTAGCCGACCGGATGTTCTATCGATGCTACTTTTGCGTAAGTGGAACGACAGCTGATAGTGAAGGATCGTGGAATATGCACAGTTAATGTCAACGTTATCCCTTGTTCATTTCCTGAATGCAATCAGGAGAGAACAGAGACAAAACTTCTCCTGTGTAATTTTCAAACTCTTCCGAATGGGCTCCTGGATATCCCAAACAGCAAGTGACGTAAGGAAACGCCAGTAAGTATAAATCAGCTATGGAAACAAATAAAAGATTCGGGCAATTACATAGCACTGTATACTGTATAGGTGAAGTATGTGTTAGATGATGTCTTGGATGTGGCGGCCCATTTTTGGAGGAGGACTGTTTGTCTCTTGGCCTTAACCATTTCGAGGTCCACCCTGCACTGTCTACACTGCAACTGTCATAACTATTTTCCTAATATTGCATATTTTGGAAATCAAAAGTAACTGCTTAATGGACATCGGGATATAGCATATCAGATTTGTAGCTGTCAAGGCCTCTTCTACCGCAAATGTCATGTGTTATGTTCAGCAAGGCATCATTCGACATCAGCCGTCATTCAGTCAGCGTTTGGATTCTTCTGCACGAAAGGTGGCAACCATTTCTCGGTTTGCAGCTAGAAATATGGAGACCCGCTGCCTGCTCAACATTTCTACTTAACCAAGCGGATGCATTTTTGTTAGTCTAAGACATTTGTGAACACTAAACAGTATTGTCCAATCAAAACGGGCATACTTGAATTTGTGTTAAAGGAATTTTTCGTGCCTGTTCACATGATTTTGACTAAGTGCATGTCTGCTTCGAAACCTCGGGATTCTGTAAGTGGAATGGAAGTACTCCGTTAGTGAATTTTACGTTACTCATGGTCCACGTTGCGAAGCAACTCGAACAGGCTGTCCACTGTACCGCGCCGCCCCGTTGTGTGAATACTCAGCCAATCACTTGAGTTCACTCAACCCACGTGAATTTCTCAAACGAAAAATGTACTGAAGTTGTCAGCACCTAGTCAAGGTAGTGCCATTGTATCTCATGACAACACTGTCCGATAAATTGGATCTACTTGTTAAGTACTATCATCCCTACTTTGTGTGTTGATAGCTCCCGCCCAAACTATTTATTCGTTCGATTAACAAGCATTCTAAACGCTGTCTCACTAACAAATTTCCGTGCCTAGCCACTGCATTCCAACATTCAGTTGGGGTTTATTTTTCATTCGCACGGTGCGTTATTACCTTTGAAGCTTTGCTTTTGTTGTCGAACTAGCGACCGTAGGTTATAAGATGGTGTATAGCACTGAAGCCATCTGCTAACATAATTAGGGCAATTATACGTACGTAGGAATTCAGATGAAGTTATCATATATGCGCTACCATAACCTCGATAGGGTTACTGGCACTAAATAGCGAAATGTCCATTAAAACAAGTTCACTCTATTTTACATTCCATGGGAAATACAAGCACCAAAATAAGGAGTGAGATTCGTTTTACAGCCGAATTCGCTAAGCCGACCCGGGTCAGAGGACTTAAGAAGTCAGAGGACACAAAAATGTCTGCACCGAAGTCATCATACGGTGAGTGATATCCGTTTACTTCCTTACAATACTACTTTTAATAATGGTCATATTGTCTCCAATGCTGTTCCCGACCTTAACGGCACTTCAGTTTAGCTCCGCTTAACTACCCCCCTCCTGTTCTACAAATAGGCACTCCACCTGTCTTGCCCCTTTTTGGGAATCTTTTTGATGCGCAGCAGTATAAGCAATTTTTACGTGATAAATCAGGCCAGGCTATGGCATGGGCGAAGATATGGCCATAACTGCTATATGGCCTGCGGTGCATGCCACTGGCCGATGGAGCCAGTTATATATGCATGGTCTTAGCGAGTTGAGAGCAGGCTGAAAACATGTATTTGACCTGTCGGATCTAGTGGCTTATAGCTAACGCTCGGTGTAATTAGCGTTATACAACTGCAACGTAGCAAATAAGAAGGCAGTGGCAGATCTATAACGTGTTTGTTCCAAGCGCTCTGGCGGGCAAGTCCAGCAGGCAAAATTCAACGATTACATTAAAAGTCATTCTACATTAAATGGCAGTCAATAGTGAATATAAAGTTTGCAACAGACAGAAAACTAAACCAAGTTTACTGGGCACTACGGACCGTCAACTTAACCGAGCGCAGTGCAAATACAGTTAGATAATGAAGTAAACTGATGGGAAGATGCCGGTAACTGACCAGCAGGCATGATGACAGCAAGATAAACTTGAAGCATTCTCGCTTGTGTGACAGTATCTGCGCGTCATCTGAGACTGTCGTAGGTATTATGGTTTCTGAATTCAAAATAAAATAGGATTGACCATAAAGTGACAGTAGATAAAACGGAACTCACTGAGAATTCAAATTCGCCCTGCCTACTACCTCAGCCACCTCTGCAACACCGCTTTGTCTCCCTGTCCCTGATATGGCAACATTCAACAGACAATACCATGGCTGTTCCTGTTTCCATGACCATATGAGGTATGTCTGCCGCCATAGCAAATAGCGAGAGTTTCACCCATAAGTTTATAACTCCATTTTACCCCAGGATGTTACTTTTATGTGCATAAATGCATATTTAGTTCCATACCCCCATTTCTCTCCATTCTTTCGCGAAACCTTTGTCACCAACTAAGTTTTCATCACATCCACGTGTGATTTCATCCTTCTCCTTACAAAATGGTATCTAAACAGTTGGCTTGGAATACTGCATCAGATGGCTTCTTAATGTACCACACCTAATTGACCTAGACATATAATGATTTACATACTTCCACGTGGTAGTCCCACACTTCCGTTTAGCATCTGGCCTGCTGCTCGCCCTTGTTACTAGGTTTTCAGGTCATACTGATCAGTTCTTCGGGTGAGATCCTAGTATTCGTAACTGCAAGCATATATCATGACAAAACGACCTCAGGGAGGATGCATAAGATTCAAAGTCACTGCCGTACCATTCTCTATCGTGAATGATATTTGATGGTTTAAAAAGTGAGAGATCAAGTCCTGACTGTGGACCAAGTTTACCTTGATCTACTGAGCAACGTTGTCACTGTCTAGGTATTTCATTACTGTTTGTCTGCGAAACAAACGCCAAACTGATGGTATCTGTGAACTGGTTTTATTCAGGTGGACTATATCTCACCATATATATACACACACAGGCACTATTATTAGAACTGATGTGGTAAGGACAATAAAAGATGAGGGCAACCCAGCATATAGTCGTTTTATTTATTGTTGGTTGGAGATAACCTCTATATTCATCGTAATCAGGTTCAAATCATTCACCGCGAAAAGTCTGTCAAAGTTGCGAACAGCGTGTTCTAGAAAAATTGCAGCACATGCCGTGTGTTGTTCTGCACACGAAAAGAAGCTGTTGAATGTTTTCCGCGATCTCTTCCTTCCGAAAGTGAGCGTTAATAATGCGTGCATGCTGGCTCTTTCTTTATCATCAGAGAAGATATGTAGCGCATGTACGTTAATTCAATAAGCAGAAGCAACAGCAGAAATAACGATGGGTGGGTTAAGGTCATAACGAGTAGAAGAAGATTCGGTCTTAGCATGGCTTTGATTTCCAAAAAGCGCTGAAAAGCCCTGAAAGTGATCTGAGAGTAGATATATCACTTGGTTCAATCATCAGCAGTATGACAAAAGTATTCTCAGGGTGCAAAGAGGACCAAAATCATGGTTGATGAATTCGGTAAAGTTTACATCATGTAATCAGGATCCATTTCTTTCAAATACTTCCAACAATTGTCCGATGCGCTTGTTTAACTCAAGTGGCGAGGCTTCAACAAAAAGTATGTCACCCAAAAATTCTGATTTTTTGACACATTTAAAAAGATGGTTTTCATTATCTGATGAAAGACCAAAGGGACCATTTGCGCGCCAAATAGCTGTCTGGTGTACTAGAACGATCCACAATGGGTGTTTATGTTTGATAACCCACGGTGGTCTTGCACGACTTCTACGTGTAGGAAAACGCCCGTCATATCACTTTTTAGGAAACAAGCTAAACCGTTTCTATAGTAAAAACTGCTGTGGAGGTTGCCAGTGGGGGATAAAACACAGGTATTTACACTCCTCGATGTTCAAGATGGCAGAGTTCGACTTCCAACAAAGGGCA